GTATAAACTGTAGGAAGCAGATAACCTCCATGGCTCTAGAGCAGTATGTGCTTCCTCATAGCACAGCATTAGTTGTACTGGATTATCATGATCTATGTAGCTATCTGAAATCTAAACCTCACCCCTGATTGTCCTCTCTGTATGTGTGTGTATTTCTTTCCCCTAAGTTCAGCCTAGGAGATGAAGGACATCACATGTAACGTACTCAAAAAAATTTTGCTTTAAAACACTGTTCTCTTATTAGTTGAATGAGGTGAAAATATAAAGTCTAAAGGTTAATTCCTTCATTATGAATTTTTTTCATTGGATTGTTTAGTAATGTATCTAGAGACTGAATTCTATTAATTGACTATTTAACTTAATCATTTTGGAAAAACTCGTTCACATCCTGTGATGTCAAACGCATATTATTCAAAATGTCTTCTGTAGCCACTGATTAACCATTTATTTTGTACTGAAGTATTTATTAAGGAGATAAGATTAGTGTGGGTTATAAGCCCCACCTTAGTTATGTTGTTGTTGTTGTTGTTGTTGTTGTTGTTGTTGTTGTTGTTAGATGCATCAGGTTGAGTATGACTCATAGCAACCCTATGACCCAAGATCTGAACCCTGTTCTGTCCTGCCCCATCCTCACACTTCCTGACACACAAGAGCCCATTGCAGCAGACACTGTGTGAGTCCACCTCGTTAAGACTCTTCCTCTCTTTTGCTGACCCTCCACTCTTCCTAGCATCATGTCTTTCTCCAAGGAATAGCCCCTCCTAGCAACATAGCCTCATCATTCTGTCTTCCAAAGAGGACTCTGGCTGCACCTGCTCCAAGACATATCTGTTTGTTCTTTTGGCATTTCATGGGATGTTCAGTGCTCTTCTCCAACATAACAGCTCAAAGACATCAATTCTTCTTCTTATTCACTGTCATCCTTATTCACTGTCCAGCATTCAGATGCATAGCAAGTGATTGGACAGACTATGGGCTGAATCAGACACACATTAATCTTCAAACTGACATCATTACTCCTCAATAATTTGGAGAGGTCCCTAACTGCAGACTTTCCCAGTGCAATGAGTCTCCTTGTTTCCTGGCTGCTGGTACCAAGGGGGTTAATTTTGGATCCAAGTAAGATAAAGTTGTTGATAATTTCAATCTTTCCTCCATCCATCATGATTCTGCCTATTGGTCCAGTAGTAAGAATCTTCGTTTTCTTGACATGATATCTGTATTCCTTTATCTTCTGAAATAAGTACGTCAAGTCCTCCTCAGTTTCAGCAAGCAAGGTTGTGTCATGTGCATAACAAAAGTTATTGATGAGTCTCCCT